AATTTTACAATCGCCAAATCTATCGACTGAACTTTTATGTTAGGGTTCCATGCGACAAGATGGCGACCTGGTTGTAGATTCTCTGTTTTCGAAGCGTTAACTTATTGGTGTTATTACAATTGGCCGGTTTTATGGTTTGTTATTATACGGCAAGGGGAGATATAGCAATGCCACCCAAAAATCAACATCCCGCAGAAGACGGCCGACTATTTCATGAAAGTCTACATTGGAGTGGAAATAGAATAGGGGTTAAAATTAGTCCTTTTCGATTCTTCAGTATCAAAGCATCCTCTGCATTGATCCTGAGGTGAAGAAGACATTCTTAAATTATTTTCACAACGAACGCATAAATTCAGCCACTACTGCCCTCCTTGTCCTCTTTATAGTTCGCAAAACAAATACAATAAAAACCCAAAAAACTAGACACCAGAAGGTGTATACTGGGCTGCCATAAAACCTAGACTAGGTTTGGCGTGCCCCAAGTATAAAGGAAAAACAGAAGGAGGTCGTACTTTCACTATTAGGACTATAAAGGACTGGAATTGCATGAATGCCAACATAAGAAATAATGGCTCGCTAGCAAGTTTTAAGCATAATGTTTTTAAATCCTTTCTAGCTGAACAAAAGGCTGCAATGCTCCTTAGACTGTAATTATATATACGTTTTATGTTGTTTTTGTCTATCTTAATCATGATGTCTTTTTAGAAATCATCTATTATTTTTTATCCTAAATTATCCTTGAAAATAGTATATTTTATAGTTTTTAGTTGTAGAATCTATATTTCTAATTTGTTTTGAGGGCCACAGAGTCATCAGGCTCTTAGGCCTACTGTTAAGTGTTTTACCCTCTTTAAATAAAGCCTATTATTATTATTATTATTATTATTATTATTATTATTATTATTGTTATTACTAGATAGAAATTATGTATTGTATGAAAACGAGAAGTTTACCACAACAGACAGCTGACAGCGTACGAAAGGAAGTAACTCTGCTAAACCCATTCCCATACCGGACACCACCCCAACCCACGGGTCTCATTAAACTGTTTGAACTGAAACTATAAAATGAAAATGATAATTGATGGTCGATACAAAGCAAGCTAGGTGGGTGTACCGTGTTGCCATGAAATTTTTGCGGTTGTTTATTTTTGCGGATTGGGCATTTTTCTGTTCCGCGGAAACTAATTTTTGCGACTAGGTGTTATGAAGCAAGAATGTAGCGTAATTGTGAGATGGCGTGATTTTACTCCTTTCAAACTTTGTGAGTTTCCCTCGTCTGTCAGATTTTAGTCACGGATTGCGGGGTTAAACATTCGAAGTATTCAACTGAATTAACAACATAACTGAGCGAAAGAGAACTTGCTGACAGATCGGATTAAAAACTAAAGCTTATAGATTTAAGAAAGTCACGATTTTGTGTAGTGTGTGAGCGAGCTATTGTACTGTTAGGGTTGAAGCTTTGAAATAAACCCAGTTTTTGCTTAAAACTGTGATATAGTGAAGAACAGGACACATTGTTTTTTTTTTTTGCTGAGAATTAATTTTCAAAAAGTACCCAGTACCCAGCATTAACAATATTTTCGTTCTTGTTAAGTACGTGCAATCAGGGTGTAATAGAAATACAGATTTTCAAACAGTACTACGGTATGCGTACATTATGTAAAACCAATTCATTGCCGTATACCTTTTTGTTTCTGAATTGAAGAAGCGAGTTGTAATTGAACAGACACGATTTCTTAGTGCTGTTTTTTTGAGTAGTAAATTTTTGAAAGAGTACACTTAATACTCTGGAGTAAATTCTTGCGGGAAAAATGTTTTCGTTAATTTTGGGGGGGAGAGAGGAAATTATTTTTGCAGATCGCTGGAAAAATCGCAAAAATCGTAAAAATTAAAAACTCGTGCCACACGGTATCTCTAGTTTATCTGAACTTTTTTTGTTTTAATGACAGCTTGTCTCTATATTTAGGAAAACAAAAAAAAATCGTCTCGTTCGTAGGAGAAAAGCTTCAGCGCATCTGAAATTTTCTTTAATCGCGTGCAGTACCATTGAGCTGTAGTTAGAAGGGCGCACAGAGTTATATTGTCTAAACTAAACCAACCTGGTTCGACATCGACAGAGTTTTTAAGCGAAGAAAACGGTTTTTTTACATTTGTTATCAGTACTAATTTTTATACACTGCGAACCGACAGGATGAAAATGAACTCATTCAATTTTTTGAATTATCATAGAAGGGACGTCTGTACACAGGCTAGAGTGTGCATAAGATAAAAGTGTTCATTCCGGAGGTCATATATGGCACCAGGAATGGCCTCCTGATGGCGCAGTCATAATTATGCTTTTGGCGTTACATCAGCAATCTCAATGAAGATCGGTCATTCCTTGCCTGTCAGATTATGCCGGTATCATGGCGTTTACAAACAAAACCATTTAATTATGTCCCTTTCTAAACAGAATCAGTTAAAGGAGATAAAAGGTATATCACATTATCTTTTTCTGTTGTATACATTTAAAGAATCATCAACACATTCCTCCAGTTTTATCTGCTTGAATTATCGTCATTATACTGCCAGTAATAGTGCTAAGAAATACGTTCCAGGTGTTTCTTGTAATTTACTTGACACAACGAAAACACACGTAAACTTGCTAGTACTGTACATTCATATTTTCTAAAAACGTTTCTCAACAGTTCCTTTTGCCTTCAAGAACAATGCCTTTCAATACACAAGTTTAATTAACACGTCCTTCCGTTTTCGGTTTTCTGATTTCTATAATTCGGTCGAACAAAGTAAAAATTGTTTTGAAAGAAAATTAGGCCGGCATGTCCGCCTTCAGTATAATAAGGGTCTAATCCGATGTTGTTTTAAATAGCTACATAGGAGCTTTTCATGCATCATTGAAAAGACAATTGTCTCAGAATGAGAGTAGTACAAGATCAGTGTGCTAAAATTTCTAATAATTGCTGGAGCGATGGTTGTTTGGTTGCTAGAGGTAGCAATAGCAACCTATGTTATTAAGGTTTGTCTAAGAGCGTTCTGAAATATACAGGGTTGCTTATATAGCCTGAAGAGAAAGGCAAACCTAGTCCGGCAAAACAGTTGCGTTTGAGAGTTGCCTTTTGGTTATGTTCTTGTGTTGGAAAATGAATAAAAAGAGAAAACTATAGATAATAATATCGTTAATAGATTTTCTCTAAACCCCGATTTTTTCCTTTTTTATACAGTCATTGTGGATATTTCTTGTTCTGACTTCGACTCAGTGCCACTCAATTGTTTTCGTTTTTTTCTTTATTTCTTATTTTTTACGGTTTAAGTAAAATCACTCAAGTTTGATCTCTCGCTGATTAAAAGAATTAAAGTCGCTATATTTCTATCCCCAAAATATATTACTTTTACCTCAGGTTTTTTCTCAATATTTATAATGGCTTTGAACGGTGGTGTATTTTTACCATTTTCGTAAACATGACGAGAGCCCCTAGCCTTTCTAAACAGGTACCGCCCATTTATAATTAGGTGGTGCTCAGTTGAAGCCAGGCATTATATTAGGTATTTTTTTAAAATGATTCTTAAATGAATTCTTTAGTTATCAAAAGGAATTTTAATAACTAATGTTATCTGGATGCTGAAAAAAAAAACAACAACAACAACAACTAATAATTAAAAACGGAGGCTAGAAAGTTAGTTGTGTCAGATGTTTTTTATAGTATGAAAGGTCTACTTCAACCCCCACCTCACCCCTGGGAAACTACCCACCTACCCCTCCCCTAAGCTTACATTAACACTTACCTCTCACTTACATATGATGATCTGCACAATCTTGGTTTTGAGAGATTTACCAATTGACACCGTCCCTTGCTCTCATGTCATTCAAATATCTCCCCCTGGGTATATATTTGTGCGAGAACCTTCACATGGTTATTGTAAACGTTGTATATATGCAGGTCCTCATTACCTTTCAGGGACCCTCTTTGAAGCACGTGCACATGTTGAAGCTTATTGCATAACTTCGCCCTTGGGCAATTATTACTATCCTGCGTAGCTGGCGGAATTAGCGGGCGAGTGCTGTGTATTTTTTTGGCGAGAAGGTTGAGAACAACTCACACGGACGCTGGCGAAAATCCCTTTCGCTAAGAAAGTACCCTAGGCATAATATTTTGAAGGAATGAAGGAAATCAGAAAGCACTGAAAACTCGAAAACATTGTTTGTTGTTAGGAATTTAATATTTGCGAGTAGCAAGTTCAAAGTCATAAAATTGGCATCATTTACACTTTGACAATAAGTTATCTGCCAAATATCGAATTGCTCCTTAGAACTTATCAATACAGTTTTTGTGTGGAATGACAGTTCTCAGCCCTCCACGATGGAAAAGTAAAGTAAAACTATCTATTAAATCTCTACCGAAAACATGCTACGATATAGTACTATAGTACTGTAAGTCATTTTCTTATATCCTGCTCTGCTTTCTTCTTTTCTCTTAACAGCGTTTACTCCATGGAGAGGAGGAGAAAAAACAGAACTGGTAAGAAATATTTGGACTACAGACTTCCTTTTGCGATAACGACAATCAGTAAATGCGATTGTCGGCTGAGTCACTCAAAGGGTGGAAGAGGTCACATGGGTGGGAAGGGTAAAGACCCGTTTTTCGACTTCCTGTCTGGATGGTAAAAAAATGGCGAATGCGAGACTAAAAAGGATGAAACGAAAGCTTTATTATTTTTCTTTTCAAACTCGACATTGTTTTCTCGCAGTGTCTAACGGCTAGGGTCTGTATAAAGACCATGCTTTGATCAGTTTGAAGATCACCTTCAAAGCTACCCCTCTCCTAACACTACTTCGTCGCACTCAACTCGCATAACACATTCATACTTCTGGTGTTAATTGGAAGGTCAATACGTGAAAAAATCATCTGCTGATACGGTTTAAGTACCTAATGTTTGGAATAATTGATATCTCTAAAAAAAAAACATTCAAGCTGTTGTTTTGATTTGGAAAATATGGCGATGGAATTTCCCACAGTGACTGCATCAAGTTCTTATGCTAAAACGCATTGCACTTCTTCGAAACAGGATTTCTATTCAGCTTGCCAAACAAACAAGCTTACCGAGACATCTTTTTCCATCTCATGTACAGTTGGCGATATAAACGCTATCAATATCGTTGCGGCAAAAACATTTGAAATGAACGACGATGAGGAAGAAGAAGAATTTGTAAAATATGGAGCTGTAGACGAGTTCTACGACTTGAAAGAAGAAATAGGGAAGTAAGTTACGATTCAGTTGACTTTTATGTAACATCTATCAACTGTGATCCTTGATATTGTGATATATATTATTATTGCTAATCCTAATAACTTTCTTTAGGATAAAAGCGGGAATCAAAAGTTAACTTTTGAATCGTTCTTTCGGCCAACTCTCTAATGTAGACATTACTAAAAACTGTACTACAACCATATCAAAAACAGACACTTTCTCAGGTCTGTAAAGCGGACACTTTGGTGCTGTCTCCGCCGGATTTCGCGTGACTGTAATTGAGGAGAAACAACTGAAAAATGTAATTGTAAAAATAGAACATAGATCAAGAGAATATCGGGGGTACCCCCATACTACGGAGTTCCGAGAGTATAAAAGGCTCTGAGTAGCTTACAACCGTTCTTCTTTTGCGGTTAAACTTTAATTAAAGGTTGGAGAAATTTATATTCACGTACAGTATGATTTGCGTTTATTACCCGGGGGAATCTTACATGAAATAGACGGGGATGTTTGTCTCCCTTAGGGTGGTAAGGAAAAAAGGGGACTTTATTTCCCAAGTAAATATAGCTTAAGGTAACGAAATGTAACTTTACGAAAACGGAATGTCTTCATACGTTGTTGAAGGCAGCATTCGATTTCAACATGTTTCGCGAAATTTAAATTCCTACAGTCCTTTATTAGTTCCGGGAAGTAGTCGCCTGTTTTGGTACAGTCTCTTTTACTTTTGGGGGACGCATATTAAAAGCCTGAGTCCTACCCTTACATTGGTTTCGCAGCTTCCTTCAATTTGACGGCGCTTGGTTCTATTCTTAGAGATATATTTTTAGCATAACTTTAAGTGATACCTGTATTGGAATGTGTAATGATTTGACTCTGCTGAACAACCAAAAGCTGTAGTTTCTACCCCTAAGGGACAGGACGATCACCCGCGCAACTTTCATATGGGAATCCCCCGGGTGTTACTACAGAACTGAGACCGGATACCATAAAAACGAAGACCCAAGCGACAGTTAGATTGTATCTTCGTTCTAGGAACATTGTAACAAATTTTATCTTAAAAATGCTAATTACAGCGTAAACTAGTTCACGTCACTTGAATTTTAGACATAATTGAAATTTGTTTTCATATTTGTAAATCATCCAAATGTCTGTCAACAAAACACCTGAAATTGTGCGATAAGCTTTCATATCCTGAATTTAGAATTTATTTATACGAAATAACGCCCATATTGATCAGATGATCTTTAATTATGCTGTTGTGCCCAGAAAATGTATCAAATGTTTACGTGGCGTAGTCATTTGGCACCACAAGTTTACTTACGGTCCATCCCACGCCCCTAGTGATCCGGTTCAGTGGAAAGACAGTTTCGGGTATCAATGAAAGTTTATCATCTTATATGATCTTATAATCCTCGAAAGAGTATTATAAGATTATAGCGTACGACCCTTACTCTCTTTCACTCGGCATTTGGTTAGCAGCAGTATGCAAAGTTATTTCAACAAAAAAACGTTCAATCTCCCACCAACATGACGGCAGGTTTCATTTTCTTGGGGCCTTATTATGGCGAATTTGACCCGTTAAACCGCCGTAGTTAAAGAGACCTAAGTTATAAATAAAGAATTTAGTTAATTAACTTATAAATTTCGGTGTCTGTGCTTCGCCACTTCTCTTTAAATTAAGTAACAACGGCAAAATATGGGCCACTAGCGAAAGAGTCGAAATCGTTACAATGTTATATAAAGGTTGATAAATTCCAATAAGATAAGCGCTTTATTGAAAAAGGATTCTACAGTAAGTTGTTTACGAAAATACATTTTTTTCCTTAGAGGTGCTTATGGAATAGTTAAAAAGTGTATGCACAAAGAAAAAAGAAATGTTTACGCAGCAAAAATCATCAAGACTTCCAGCCACACTATTAGGAAGACTGTTCTGCGGGAGATTGAAGTCATGAGGGCGCTGGGACCACATAATAAACTTGTGGAACTACTGGATGCGTATCAGACACCTTTTGAAATTGTAATGGTTTTGGAATTGTAAGTGTGCTTAATTGTATTACAGTATGTCTTGCCTTGCGTTTGTTTATAAATAAGTTGGGAGTGAGAGCGTTACTCAAATCTGAACAGGGCAAATGGTAAGAAAAATTCAGGACTTCGAATACAGTTCATCCCGGAATCGCGTTTACCATTTGTGAATTCCATTTACGAAAGACGGCCGCGAATGCCTGAAACTGATACCAAAAATAGCTTTGAACAAATAGGACTCACTGGCCTTTTCAGATGTATACTCGCGCCCGAAAATTCATGTTCCATTTGAATCCGAACCGGAATTTCCGGAATTTGTTCTGTGGTAAGAGCTCATTGTGTAGCTTTAAGAAAGTTTAGTATCTTTCAGTTAATTCAGTTTCCGGCATTCTCGATCATTGGAGAATCCATAGGGTAACGTCTACGGCAAACGTGAGATTCAGATTGACAATTGCTCGAATTAGGAAATGAGGAGATGAAAACAGGCCAAAATATTCCTTATGAATGAAACAACAATTTTGTGTAGGTATAAAGACAAGCAAACAAAAAGTAAAAGAAAAAGTTGGTCAAGTGGCACAAACAGAGAGGTTGCCTTAAACGTGATTTCATAGTCAGTAGAGGACATTTGTTATGAAAAGCAGAGAACATTAAAGAAAGAAAAAAACGGTGCTCAAGGTTTTGTTAGAAGAAACAAAAGTTTTTGTTAGAAGCTCTCTGACAGGCACAATCCTTTGTATTTTGCTTAAAAATTGGGAGCACATGTTTTACCTTTCTGGGAAACTGCCCACCTACCCCTCCCCTAAGCCGACATTAACACATACTTCTCACTTACGGCAAAATGTCGGCTTAGGGGAGGGGTAGTTGGGCAGTTTCCAAGAAAGGTAAAATGATCCAAAAATTGTGACGGAATGAATAAATGCGGCGTTTTTATTGGGCAATAAGATCTAAATGATAGAAGTGCCATTGAACGTTGTGCACCACGAAATTCCACGAAAACATAAAACCACCAAAGGAGTCAAACGGGCTTCATAACCGTGGTGATTCTAAATCTCTCTGTTGTTTCCGTACAGTGTCCCAGGTGGTGAATTATTTGAACGAATTGTTGCTGAAGAATACTTGATGGAAGACGATGCCGTAGATTACGTCAGACAAATCCTTGAAGCTTTACGATTCATGCACGAGAGGAATGTAGTTCATTTAGATCTTAAGGTGGGTGGAAGAGATTTTCTTTCCCACTGAGCAACTGTGGTTCCCTTTTCGCTGGCGATGAACTTACTCTCGCTTTTTTCCTGCTATATCTCGAATCTTAGGCTCCATCCACACCTATCCCGACATTTTGAATTCGATGAGGTCAAACATACATACTACTAGCATGCGCATGCTCTGTAAGGGATGCTATCGTATTTCCATCGTTCTAGCGGACGGGCGAAAACTGTTCAAATACGCCACGTGTGGACACATTTTTTTGAAAACGGAATAAAAAATCTCCGTTTTTCAAACAATATCTGGATACACGTGGACACCCTAGCCCTGACGGGTTAGCATTAGAAACTTGCTTTTAGGGTCAACGTACTGAGCTGGTTTGGCTAATGAGTACTGGAGTCAAACCACTGTTGAAAAACGCTACGTAAACACGCAACTTTGCTTTTGCATAAAAAAGTAGGTCGCCACGCCGCCATTTGGCATCTATTCAAAGCCATTATTACTCTGTCGTACAAGTGGAAAATTGAATTCATTGTCTTGTTCCTTGTCAGCCAGAAAACATTTTATGCGTCAGTATGGACTCCAACGACATAAAGCTTGTGGACTTTGGACTCGCCAGGAATCTTACTACTGAGGATGACATTAAATCTTCTTTTGGCACCCCAGATTTTGTAGGTAAGAAGGTTTTTAGCTAGAATATAGGTATCACCTCACTGATAACTATCTAACTGTTGTAAATAACTACATAAAATTACTGTAGAACCCCGATAACTCGAACTCGGATAACTCGAGCTGCCGCTAACTCGAACTAAAATCAATTTCCCTTGGATTTCACCCCATTTTCCACTGAGAAATTTTTACTCTGTTAACTCGAATTAGGAGAACTCGAATTCCCCGCTAACTCGAAATAAATTTCTTTTCACTGAGATTTACCCTGATAACTCGAACTCTGGCTCGGATGCCATTCCATTATCCCTTCTTGTTGTATAAGGGTAAAAACAATAAAAGTAAAACCGCACCGTAATTTTTAGGGAGTTATTATAACTCCAAAAATGGAGTAAACATTTTAGGTACAGGATAACGCCTTTTTTGGGGTTATTTTAACTCCTAATTTAACTCCGAATTTGGGGTCATTTTTACTCCTGAAAAAGAGTTCTTTTTACTCCCAGTCTGGAGTTAAAATTACTCCGAAATGGGGTTACTTGTACTCCTTACATGGGTTGTTTTTACTCTTTTTGGAGTTAATTTAACTCTGAAAGTGGAGTAAAAATTTTAGGTACAGGATAACTCCTTTTTTGGGGTTATTTTAACTCCTCAATATCTGGGGTCACTTTTACTCCTGAAAAAGAGTTCTTTAAACTCCTTTTTTGGAGTTAAAGTAACTCCACGAAAAATAACTCCACTGTAAGGAGTTCAATTAGCCCCACTAGAGGAGTTATTATAACTCCCTGAAAATTACAGTGTGGTCAGTGGTCAACACTACTGACAGCAATTTGATTTTAATTGGACAGGTGCAACGAACAGGTCACCTTTTATGATAAAAAATGCCTACTCATGTTACCGTTTCTGAGGAAATAAGTTTAATTTGCACGGCACTATTCATTGGAGCGCTGAACTATCAGTAACCATCAATTTTTCACCTGGCAAACTGAATTTTGTATCGACCCTTATAACTCGAACTCTCGCTAACTCAAACTATTTTTCGTTTCCCTTACTGAAGAGTTCGAGTTACCGGAGTTCTACTGTAAATTGCAATAATAGACTCTGGTCCGTATACTTCCTTTTGTGCACTATGAATGTACTTGTCACTTTCTAGATTATCCGTTGCAGCACCCATCGTTAGGTAACTAGTTAAGGAAAACCAAAAGCGCTAACGGATTATGCTAGAGACGATCAAGGAATAATATATCCACGAGCGCAGTCCATCGAGACAATGTAGACCATGACAGCATTTTAAGTAATCCCTTTTTGTATCACTACTTCACTCAAAGTAAACTCAAAGCAAAATAATTCGTTTGCAATCTCCTTCTGTTTGTTAATTGCGATAAAACCATTAGTAGTTTTCTGAAAGTTACTCAACTTTGTGCTTGTAAATTTCTGTCATCTTTCTTTAGCTCCTGAAGTTATTAGAATGAAACCTGTGTCAACTGCAAGTGACTTATGGTAAAGCAGTTTTTGTGTTTCCGTTATCTTTGGAGCTATTAATTTCCGGTTTTTTTGTGTTAATCTTATCCACGTGGCTCTTAAATGACACTTTTTTTTTTCCCTTTCTTTTTCCAGGAGCCTAGGCGTCGTCACATATGTCTTGTAAGTAGTATAATCGAATTGCTGGTTCAAATAAAATATATTTTAAATGTTTTGATAACTAGAGGTGTGTTAGGAATGTTGGATAGTTTTTTAACGTGCCCGTCTTTCTTTTGGAGTCATGGGATTGCACACTATGGGGTTCGGTGTACAATGCTGCTGTTAACTCCTGTTCGTATTAATAGTGGATTTAAATTGTGTATGTCTCATTGAGTTCAAACCGACGTTTATCAAACAGCGATCTAAAACCTTTGGTGCACACTGATTTTAATTGCATGTACCCATTGATTCGTAAGACAGCACAAGACTGAATTCCCCATCTTCATTTCGGGAGAATACTGTTGGGCGAATTTCCATGTTAGAATTGATTGGGAAATGTGTTGGTTTTTATTTCCTGCAGATTAAGCGGCCTGATGCCATTCTCTGGAGACGATGACCATCAGACGCTTGTCAAAGTAGCTAAAGCTGACTGGGATTTTGATGATGAGTGTTTTGATGATTTATCTCACGATGCAATGGAATTTATTGAAGGACTTCTTGTAAAGGATCCAAGGCATGTTTTAATAAAAATGTCCTGTCCAAATTCGGGTATTTTCACTTATGACTTTAGCACCTTGACCAAACGTGTTCAATGTGTTTTACCTTTACTACTAGTAATAGGCAATCGAAAAGATTCCCAGCATTGGTTTTGCTTTTGCTTTCTTTTTTCAAAAGTTTTCTTTCTGGAGCTATTTATATTTCTTGATGATGCATATTGGAACCTACTGACTACTGCAGATAGACAATTTGGCGTAAAGAGGCTGATCAACTGTGTGTTTCACCTAATCCTCCTTACATGGTGTTATTCAGGAGTAACCTATTCGTCCGATTCCCTCGAGCTTTGGACAATCAGAATGCGGCATGAGTGAAGTAGCTTTCGGAAATATTGAAGTATTATCCACTGTTTCCTTTTCAGCAAGCGGTTAACAATAGAGGAGTGCTTTAAGCATCCGTGGATAAAGGTGTGTAAAAATCTATTACATCCCTCTTCAGTGGATCCCTATTTTTATGTATTCATTTATTTATTTACTTATCACGTTTTTTTTACTGACTGGTTGAGAACGATAGGTTTAGTTTTTCATGCTTCAGATGCCATTGATTTCTTTCTTTCTTTTTTCTACTAGGAAAACCATGAAACAGGAACGAAAATCAACACACAAAAGCATAAGGCGTTCATGGCGAAGAGAAGGTGGAAGGTAGGTAGACATTGCAGTCAATTGATCCTGTAGCCTGCGAATACAGCTGTCTCTCACCAGGAACGTTTCGCGGGAGGGACGTCTGCGCCTTCACGACAGCAATTCAAAAGTGATAATGTAAAGCAATGTTCACATAAGTTTAACATCTGGTAGTCATGGGGTTCCACTTAGACTCTAAGTTTCTCCTAGTCTATTATCTCAAAGTTTTGAATTCTTTTGCAAAAACGAGCGGCAGCAAATTAAGCTCAAACACGTCGTCAAAAAGAAGAATGCATTCCACGAATAATGACTTTATTGTAGTAGATTCATCTCATTTACATTTAACCTTTGTAACCTTTTATCTTTTGTCTGTCGTCCGTAAACAACAGTTTAACAGATTTTACGTCATCAGTATCGAATTTTTGTCGTAAGCGGAGACTTTCCTCTCTTGAAAAGGCGAAAGTGGCCAAGAACCTGCACGCAGGCTGTTGATCTTCCTTTTCATGACATCTTCGGAGGTCATCATTGAAGTTAAAATAAAATACAGAGTAGAGTTAGAAAGCTGGTTTACTAACTTAGAACAAACGCCACTGAATCGTAGCCAACAGTTACCAGCGTCGTACAAACGACTTATTGACGAGATCAAGCAAAACTAATTCCGAGAGAACGACTGGGGAACTGACAATTTGACAAACAATAGACGACTGTTTAACTGTGACAATAGAAGGATCAAAATGCGCCAATTATTGATTACTAGTCTTCATAGCCCATAACATCACGGCTTAACTGACAGACGACCAATAACATCGCGACGTAATTGACCAATCAGATCAATAACCAGAGTATAATACCATCAAGTGACGTGATAGAACTCACTTTGACTCTGAAGATGACTACCGCACAGGTTGTCGAAACATTAGCCACTGTCAAAAACAACAGTCCTATTCAGGACAACGTTCACCCGGACGATCAAACTCAACCTACTTTAGAGTAGCGTTAGTTATGGCTTCATTACTCGATAAGTTGACCTGATTTGGCAGTAACTCGAGATATTTTTGGTCTTTATCATCTTGTATTGTGCACTCTAATCGTTAACCCTTAACGTTGTGATTTCATTTTCAGAAATCTGTACATGCTCTTTTGGCTGTTCGCCGCATGTCTCTGTCGCCTATTTCTGCCTCTAAGAGAAGACGTTCAATGGATCCATCCATATTAAAAACAACTTCAGAAAGCGAGGAAGATCAAACTGTGGACAGGAAGGTGTCAGCTCCGCTAGATCCCTCGACATTACATATCTCGGAGCGTCGACGTGGAGATACTCACAACTCTTGTTTTGATCTGAACATGGCAACTATACAAGCTTTGCAAGCAAAGGCAGACAAGGCGATGGGAAAAGACTTGTCACAAAAGGAGGAAAATAAGCACGAAAATGAAAGTGATTCAGAGGATGAATATCATAATGAATACTCGGATAGAGATGATAACTGTACAGAAAATGCCAATGAAAATGATATTTCCACATCCGAGTGCAATTCAACAAAACAAGTGTTTTCAAATAACCAGAGACCGAGGGCAAACACGGTTTGCGGAGCCAGTCCATATGCCGAGTCTTCTTCTCAGCGCGCGGTGAGAAAAACATCGCAGATATTAATCAACGTTGGAAATACTTCAACAAATGATTTCAAACCAATATCGTTTACTTTCAACACAGAGGAAATGCAGCGAAATATGCGACAAAGTCGTCAAACTACACCCGCAAGAAGTGAGAATCAATTGAATTTAAATAATAACCACGAATTTTCCAGTGAGTTTTCACTGAAACAAGAACATAATCACATTACTGAGCAGCGGAGATTAAGTTCACAGATGGATGAATCCATCTTGGAAAACGGCCACCCCGAGGAAAACAAGCTTCCTAAAATTTGCGTGAATGATGAACTTATTTCCACAAGTCCTTCTCCTGTTTCGGTAAAATTAAACAACATTGAGAAACTTGACAGTGAGGGGTTGATTGGGAGAACAACCTCGCCACAGGCTTCATCAAGTTTAAACATTGCTGATGTCAGTAAAATAACCGAGAGTGTCCAGTCCATCACGGTAAAACTGGATAACTTAAATGGTGTACAATTCACACCTGGTAACGTGACATGTAGCGTGCGTCGGTCTTCCACTGGTTCAGCACCGTGTTGACTTTGCAAAATTTTACTAGCTACTTATTACAAAGAGGACGCCACGTAACCATGGTAGCAAAATTTCTGGAACTGAACACTTTTTTTACAGAGACTGCCATTTGCAGAACGAGGGAAGAAAATTGTAGGCTACCGTTTTGTTCCTGAGTGCAATCATACACAGGAAAGTCCTGCATGTCAAGTTTTTCTCTTTTTAATGCGATATAAATTGCAAGATCATGGTTTGTCGAGATCCAGAAATTTTGCTACCATGGCAACGCCACCTAACGACTTCTCCTCTCTATTATCAAGACATTGCCATCTATCTTTTTAAAAAATAAAACTTTTGAAATACCAGTATACGATAGATTGTTATCCACTCAACACCTCTCCTAAGCAGAAACACATAAACACATTTAGCCTCCCTCATGCATAAACAAGGCCTCACGAGATGGCTGAACACAGTTTGATAGGTTATAGATTGTTACCATTCATTAGGGGTGCAATTTAAGACTCGTTGAAAGTGTCAAGTCCAAATTTGGAGTCATTGTTATATTCCAAAATGTAGCTTTTCATACACAAAAACGCTGAACCTCCTGAAACTTTTGTAAATTTCCACCACGGAGAGTATGCTCGAAGTGTCGAGTTTCCAGTGACCATTTTCATGGAATAAGTGTGGAAGAACGCTAATCCAGAGCGAACTGATGAAGTATTCGTGGTACATAAAAGGTCAAAACATATACGTTTTGGACGAGGCCTATTGCTAGACGGGAAGGAAACGGTTCCATTACTTTAAAATCCCTCTTTAAACTGTTTTTTTCGCATGTATTTGTCAAAGTAGCTAAAGCTGACTGGGATTTTGATGATGAGTGTTTTGATGATTTATCTCACGATGCAATGGAATTTATTGAAGGACTTCTTGTAAAGGATCCAAGGCATGTTTTAATAAAAATGTCCTGTCCAAATTCGGGTATTTTCACTTATGACTTTAGCACCTTGACCAAACGTGTTCAATGTGTTTTACCTTTACTACTAGTAATAGGCAATCGAAAAGATTCCCAGCATTGGTTTTGCTTTTGCTTTCTTTTTTCAAAAGTTTTCTTTCTGGAGCTATTTATATTTCTTGATGATGCATATTGGAACCTACTGACTACTGCAGATAGACAATTTGGCGTAAAGAGGCTGATCAACTGTGTGTTTCACCTAATCCTCCTTACATGGTGTTATTCAGGAGTAACCTATTCGTCCGATTCCCTCGAGCTTTGGACAATCAGAATGCGGCATGAGTGAAGTAGCTTTCGGAAATATTGAAGTATTATCCACTGTTTCCTTTTCAGCAAGCGGTTAACAATAGAGGAGTGCTTTAAGCATCCGTGGATAAAGGTGTGTAAAAATCTATTACATCCCTCTTCAGTGGATCCCTATTTTTATGTATTCATTTATTTATTTACTTATCACGTTTTTTTTACTGACTGGTTGAGAACGATAGGTTTAGTTTTTCATGCTTCAGATGCCATTGATTTCTTTCTTTCTTTTTTCTACTAGGAAAACCATGAAACAGGAACGAAAATCAACACACAAAAGCATAAGGCGTTCATGGCGAAGAGAAGGTGGAAGGTAGGTAGACATTGCAGTCAATTGATCCTGTAGCCTGCGAATACAGCTGTCTCTCACCAGGAACGTTTCGCGGGAGGGACGTCTGCGCCTTCACGACAGCAATTCAAAAGTGATAATGTAAAGCAATGTTCACATAAGTTTAACATCTGGTAGTCATGGGGTTCCACTTAGACTCTAAGTTTCTCCTAGTCTATTATCTCAAAGTTTTGAATTCTTTTGCAAAAACGAGCGGCAGCAAATTAAGCTCAAACACGTCGTCAAAAAGAAGAATGCATTCCACGAATAATGACTTTATTGTAGTAGATTCATCTCATTTACATTTAACCTTTGTAACCTTTTATCTTTTGTCTGTCGTCCGTAAACAACAGTTTAACAGATTTTACGTCATCAGTATCGAATTTTTGTCGTAAGCGGAGACTTTCCTCTCTTGAAAAGGCGAAAGTGGCCAAGAACCTGCACGCAGGCTGTTGATCTTCCTTTTCATGACATCTTCGGAGGTCATCATTGAAGTTAAAATAAAATACAGAGTAGAGTTAGAAAGCTGGTTTACTAACTTAGAACAAACGCCACTGAATCGTAGCCAACAGTTACCAGCGTCGTACAAACGACTTATTGACGAGATCAAGCAAAACTAATTCCGAGAGAACGACTGGGGAACTGACAATTTGACAAACAATAGACGACTGTTTAACTGTGACAATAGAAGGATCAAAATGCGCCAATTATTGATTACTAGTCTTCATAGCCCATAACATCACGGCTTAACTGACAGACGACCAATAACATCGCGACGTAATTGACCAATCAGATCAATAACCAGAGTATAATACCATCAAGTGACGTGATAGAACTCACTTTGACTCTGAAGATGACTACCGCACAGGTTGTCGAAACATTAGCCACTGTCAAAAACAACAGTCCTATTCAGGACAACGTTCACCCGGACGATCAAACTCAACCTACTTTAGAGTAGCGTTAGTTATGGCTTCATTACTCGATAAGTTGACCTGATTTGGCAGTAACTCGAGATATTTTTGGTCTTTATCATCTTGTATTGTGCACTCTAATCGTTAACCCTTAACGTTGTGATTTCATTTTCAGAAATCTGTACATGCTCTTTTGGCTGTTCGCCGCATGTCTCTGTCGCCTATTTCTGCCTCTAAGAGAAGACGTTCAATGGATCCATCCATATTAAAAACAACTTCAGAAAGCGAGGAAGATCAAACTGTGGACAGGAAGGTGTCAGCTCCGCTAGATCCCTCGACATTACATATCTCGGAGCGTCGACGTGGAGATACTCACAACTCTTGTTTTGATCTGAACATGGCAACTATACAAGCTTTGCAAGCAAAGGCAGACAAGGCGATGGGAAAAGACTTGTCACAAAAGGAGGAAAATAAGCACGAAAATGAAAGTGATTCAGAGGATGAATATCATAATGAATACTCGGATAGAGATGATAACTGTACAGAAAATGCCAATGAAAATGATATTTCCACATCCGAGTGCAATTCAACAAAACAAGTGTTTTCAAATAACCAGAGACCGAGGGCAAACACGGTTTGCGGAGCCAGTCCATATGCCGAGTCTTCTTCTCAGCGCGCGGTGAGAAAAACATCGCAGATATTAATCAACGTTGGAAATACTTCAACAAATGATTTCAAACCAATATCGTTTACTTTCAACACAGAGGAAATGCAGCGAAATATGCGACAAAGTCGTCAAACTACACCCGCAAGAAGTGAGAATCAATTGAATTTAAATAATAACCACGAATTTTCCAGTGAGTTTTCACTGAAACAAGAACATAATCACATTACTGAGCAGNAACCAGTATCGTTTACTTTCAGCACAGAGGAACTGCAGCGAAATATGCGACAAAGTCGTCAAACTACACCCGCAAGAAGTGAGAATCAATTAAATTCAAATAATAACCACGAATTTTCCAGTGAGTTTTCACTGAAACAAGAACATAACCACATTACTGAGTAGCAGAGATTAACTTCACAGATGGATGAATCCATCTTGGAAAATGGCCACCCCGAGGAAAACAAGTTTCCTAAAATTTGCGTCAATGACGAACTTATTTCCACAAGTCTTTCTCCTGTTTCGGTAAAATTAAACAACATTGAGAAACTTGACAGTGAGGGGTTGATTGGGAGAACAACCTCGCCACAGGCTTCATCAAGTTTAAACATTGCTGATGTCAGTAAAATAACCGAGAGTGTCCAGTCCATCACGGTAAACTGGATAACTTAAATGGTGTACAATTCACACCTGGTAACGTGACATGTAGCGTGCGTCGGTCTTCCACTGGTTCAGCACCGTGTTGACTTTGCAAAATTTTGCTAGCTACTTATTACAGAGAGGACGCCACGTAACCATGGTAGCAAAATTTCTGGAACTGAACACTTTTTTTTTACAGAGACTGCCATTTGCAGAACGAGGGAAGAAAATTGTAGGCTACCGTTTTGTTCCTGAGTGCAATCATACACGGGAAAGTACTGCATGTCAAGTTTTTCTCTTTTTAATGCGATATAAATTGCAAGATCATGGTTTGTTGAGATCCAGAAATTTTGCTACCATGGCAACGCCACCTAACGACTTCTCCTCTCTATTATCAAGACATTGCCATCTATCTTTTTAAAAAATATAACTTTTGAAATACCAGTATATACGATTGTGCAGATAGATTGTTATCCACTCAACACCTCTCCTAAGCAGAAACACATAAACACATTTAGCCTCCCTCACGCATAAACAAGGCCTCACGAGATGGCTGAACACAGTTTGATAGGTTATGGATCGTTACCATTCATTAGGGGTGAAACTTAAGACTCGTTGAAAGTGTCAAGTCCAAATTTGGAGTCATTGTTATATTCCAAAATGTAGCTTTTCATACAGAAAAACGCTGAACCTCCTGAAACTTTTGTAAATTTTCACCATGGAGAGTATGCTCAAAGTGTCGAGTTTCCGGTGACCATTTTCATGGAATAAGTGTGGAAGAACGCTAATCCAGAGCGAACTGATGAAGTATTCGTGGTACATAAAAGGTCAAAACATATACGTTTTGGACGAGGCCTATTGCTAGACGGGAAGGAAACGGTTCCATTACTTTAAAATCCCTCTTTAAACTGTTTTTTTCGCATGTACGTTTTGTGTGCTTGTAAAAAAGGAACGAAAATCACTGACACTCACAAGAACATGGCGTTCATGACGACAAGAATGTGGCACCTTGATTCAACCTAACTCACTGGTTCTTCATGGTGGTTTGAATATGATGACGCGGGTGAAATGCAGCTCAGAACAAGGCCAGGGGCGTAGCTAGCGGCGGGGATGGGGGGGGGGGGGTCCTGGGGTGCCCGTGACCCCCCTTGGTAGGCCTTCTTTTGAGCAAACAACCTACGATATGCAGGTGGCGCAAACGCCATGACAATATCTTGGCCGTAAAAGCCATTGTTGAAAAGCCCACTTTTTTAAAATTTGTTTTTTTGTAAAGTATTTTCGTCAACGTTCTTGTCTTTAGTTAATATGGGCCTTCATGCCGCGATAATACGACTGAGCCCGCTGATACACGAGGGAGAGCAGCGGCACACGGCGTGGAGGTCGACATGACAATCTGGTGAGTAGCCTCTGTGACCCCCCCCTTTGAAAAATCCTGGCTACGCCCCTGAGGGTTTTTAAGCTCTGCATCAGAATCACCCATGTGAAGGATGTGCGAAGAGAAGGAAAAAAGTGTAAGTCGCCTAACCAGTGAGTGCAGCAAGTTTGCCCAACGTGAGTACAGGAGGCGACATAACAATGTGGCGCCGTATGTGCATTGGCAACTGTGTGGGCAGAACTGGAACGGGTAGATCAGTGATACAAACATACCGTACCCCAGATCAAATGGTAGGAAATACAGGTTTTAAAGTTTTATGGGATTTGAATGTAAGGCCGGAAATCATCCTCGTTGATAAGCGGGCAAAGGAGGCTAAGATCGCTACTTCACGTTTTGTCAAATGATAGAGAAAAAGAAAAGAAGTTCTTCCATCAACGTGTGACAGTCTCCGACAGCAGATGACGTGTGCCAGTTAACAGGCCTAAGTATGGTGACATTCCGTTGATATTATACAAGATCTCGTTCTACCAGAGGGATATGGTTGGGAGATGACAGATGGAAATGTACAAAAGACAGGCTTTCAAAAATATTGATAACAAAATTGTTCTTGAAAAAAAAAATAATAATAATAAAAGCGCCTTGGCCTCGAATTGGCCTCAAATCCCTTGAAACGCGAAGAAAACTAAGCCCCCTAAGATGTACAAAATTATTCACGAACTCGTTGACTTGAATATTCATAATTAATTGCAATTCTCCAAGGAAACACGAACACGTAACAGTCATGCGTATAATATATATCCTTTTTCCGGTGGTCCTCTAGGGAGTGGAATCAGCTCCCAGCACTGAGAGGTCATGTTGTCTCCATCGCTAGCTGTGTTCGAGGAGAAAGCGACTACATTCTTGAACTACAATTCAAACTAGCCTAGTCAATAATGTGTATTTTTATTTATTCATTTTAACAGTTAGTATGATGCTTCACCGGCTTTACTAACTTAATAGAGGTAAAGGTAAAGGTAAAAGCACGATTTTCCTTTATAGTTCGTCCTCATGCCAGTCACGCGTGTCACATGACTGCGTCAGCGTGACCAGTCACGTAACATTTTTTACTCCCAAAAGTATAACAGACTCCTTTGTTATATTAAACAGTGGGTCAGTTACCATTTTTTAACGATTTTTAACAAAGAAATATGAAGTAAATGGTGATTCAGCCGTCAGCCTTGTTTTCATGCTGGACTTTAGGATGAGTGACAAAAACATGCCGTTTACTCAAAGCCTACACCACAAATTGTTTACTGTTGTTTGCCTACTCCAAGCCAGCGATCCTGATATTGGCCTGCTTCGATTATCATCATTATATTGTAATAGTGCTAAGAAATACCTTCCAGGTGTTTATTGTAATTTACTTTACACAAAGAAAACTATCTTGCAAATTATTAGGCTTTAATCAGGACGTCTTGTTCTACCATAATCCGCTATCAAACCTTTTCTGACCCGTGGGTTGAAGGAAACGACAATTTTCCGACCTCAGCGTACTGGACTATCCGCCAGATTGCAAATCCAGCGCTCTAACCACTCGGACATGTTGCCTCTACGCAGTCTCCCGACAGTAAATTGTCAGCCCCGCATATCTCAGGGGATTATGTATCTATAATCTTCGTCGTAGGGATACTCGCAATTCTTGCTTTGATGTGAACATGCCAACACTTCTAGACTGCAAAACAGTCCGTATTTTTGCGTATTCAAGTACGCGCGAGCAGTCAAACAAAAGGGCTGAAAACAGAGAGAGAGACTGGGGAGAGAGGCTGGCGTGTGAGGCTCTTACGCCACGCTTTACCGATTTCTTTACTGATTTTGAGGGAAAAAAAACGATTCACGCTTTGCAAGCAAAGGCAGAAGAGGCGATGGGAAAAGACTCGTCACAAAGAGAGAAAAGTGAATACGAAAATGAAAGTGATTCTGAGGATGAACACTCTAATGAAAGATCGGGTAGAGATGATAACTGTGCAGGTAATGCCGATGAAAATGATGTTTCCACGTCCGAGTGCATTTCAACGAGACATGTTTTACTCTATAATCAGACGGCAAAATCGAACACGATTGGCGGAGAAAATGCAGAAAAAACATATTGTCAATTTCTTTAAACCACAACTGCTAGAAATGAGACTGAATTGGATTCACCTAGTAGTAAGTGCGTTTAAATGCATACGTTTACGTTCGGAATTACGGTCTTTTTCAGTTCCTGATGCTTTTCGCAAGGGCTCACCTATTTTGAGTAATAAACGGTTTCCGAGAAAAATCCTTCGAAAAATGTACCCTTTATATTTCGAAGGAATAGTTAACCTTCTTGTCATTATTGTCACTTTTTCTAACTCTGCCTTAGACTACGACATTTTTTTTTTAACAATTAATGAATGAGGCTGAGTATCTTATGAAGAATTATGGTGATCGAGGAGGGTGTTATCGGCCGAGACGGATAACACCCTCCGAGATCTCCATAATTCTTCATATGATACGAAAGCCGAATTCAATAATTGTTTTATTATTCATTCAAAATAATTCCTAGTTTAAAAACATAGCTAAAACAAGCTTACCTGCATCGATGTTAAGTTTATCTTCGATAGTTTACGTTTAGGTTTGTCCAGCTCCGCAAATATTCTCCAAATAACAGATGTCGCCCTCCGAGTTGTCTTCTTGCTGTTTTTGCTATGTTTTTAGCCATTATTTCGCCTAGTTCCAGCTGTAGTTCTTACTGTTGAAACGAATGAAGTGTGCGCCATTTTAGTTTTTACAACTAAAAACAACTCAATCTCGTCTCCAGGTCTTCTCGGTTAACGGTGCATTAACCTGTAGAAGGCTGCATTTTTGACGACATTTCCTCGTTAAAGACAAAATTCTTCCAAATTTGGTAATCAGTAACTGGTTATGGTGAATTATGCGTGTGCTTTTAGCCAATCATATTTTGAATGAATAATAATGTCCATTAATGCACACAGTCTGTAGCGCGTGTATAAATGGACAGTAAGACAAGGGAGAAGGTTCGCGTGTTTCACACGCGGGAATCTATTCATTTCGCGCTCTTGTGTCTCCATGACTCAGTAACGAGAGGGAATCCAACTGGTTTGAACTCTAACTCTACTTTCACTGTAATAAAACTACTGTCAACAATTCATGAATACCCTAGCAACTTAAAAATTGTTCCTTACGCCCGGTTCAAAGGTCGCATCATATGTGCTGAATCTAATGTAAATGAGTGAGAACAATAGATTTTCCTCACTAGCATTAAAGTCGGTACATGTCGATACGTCGGACGTTTTAACCTGGCCTTAGTTGCTACGGGTACGTAAGGTTCATACGAGGGCGGAGTAGATACATGTACGGACTAATTTATTTAAAAATGGTTCTTAATGATAAGGCACCAATTCCTTGCTTAACCAGCGTCTAAACGTATTCTTCTAAGATTAAACTTTGACTATCTATAAGCAGCGAGTATATTGAAATAAAACATAAAGTTTAAAGGTTCAGTTCCCTGAAGGATTCTGGTAAATAGTATGTAGCCGGGAAACCGTAAGCTTCAATGAGTAAGTCTGCAAGTTCGGAGTCATCCTTTTTTTCTTTGGTTCTTTGCGAAGAAGCCATCTTCGACTCGAGATACTCCTCAATCTCCAATTCTTCATTCAAGTGAGCTAACTCAACAGCATTCTTTCCATCGGTTGTGACGATATTAACGTCAGCGTCGAGATCAAAAAGTGTTTTCACGACTTTTAGATTACCATGGATCGCTGCCATGTGCAAGGGAGTGAACCCTTCAGCGTCCTGGGCGTTGACATTCGCCCCGGACTTAACCAAAAGATCGATTATTTCGGGTTCGTTGTTTTTTTTGCTTGCAATGTGAAGAACGGTCACACCAGGTATTTCTTTAAAGTCACCCTCCTCAAGTATCTTGTCAATTGTGCCTTCTGGAGGATCCTCTCCCCAACCACTACGAAGAACAGCTCCAAAATCTGCCACGTCAAGACTGCCTCCATTCGTTAGCTTCGGAAATAAACCCAGTAAATGTTTCTTCACTAAGACATAGTGCCAAGCTGATCTACCTCTGTCTTTCCCTCGAACTAGGTAAATTCTGTCGGTAGAGTTTTCCTTGTATCCAATAGTTACATCAGCCTCGTTGTCAATCAAGAGTTTGATGAACTGTTTATGTTTGTTCTTTACACCAAGAAAAAGAGGGGTTCTTCCTTCTTTATTTTGAAGGTTGACGTTGCTTCCCTTTTTAACCAGACGTTTGGCTATATCAAAAAACCCGTTGCTGACAGCTGTGTGCAGTGGTGAATCGCCATTAGCCTTCTGAGTATTTACTACCGCGTTCTTTTCCAGAAATAATTTGACAAGGTTTTGGTTACCCTTCATCACTGCCAAGTGCAGTGGAGTATTTCCATCAGCTGCAGCGATATTAGCATCAGCTCCATTATCCAAAAGCGAGTTCACCGTCATGAAGTTGTTCCAATAAGAAGATAAGGTCAAAGGTGTATCTTTGTCATCGGCTCTTTGAGCATTAACGTTAGCACCAAGGTCGATAAGGGTCTCAATAAACTCACCAGAGGATGATAGACTCGCCCACAACAAAGGTGTGCGATTACACAATGCAGGGGTGTTTATATCCAGGCCATCATTTAATACAAGCTCTACCGCATTCTCCGCATCGTTAGCGTGTCCACACTGGTGCAGCTCTGACAGTGTATTGACTTTATCCACTGTCTCTCGGAGAAATTCTTCGATTTTGTGATGATCTTGCCTTTTGGTTTCAAGATTTGCTAGAGTATCAGCTACTGCTGAAACTCCCATCGGTGTTTCGAAATGACGGAGTAGCACGAACGCCTTGACAACAACGTCACAATTTCCTTCAACGACCGCCGCCGTGAGCATGTTAAATCCCGATCGAGTATCCACACGCAAGAATGCCTTCTCCGCAAGTGACTTTAAACTTAACTGCAAGCAAGAAGTTAAAACGAGTCAGTGTACTTACCTAGAATCTGAATCTAACTGAGGTGATAAAAATAAAGCACATATAATTTATCGTTCATCGAAATTCAGTAGTAGTAAAATGAAAATTGAACATTTAAAGAACACAACCGACGCGCTTGGGATACATCAACATCCATCGTCAGGTTACTAAAGTTCACAAAATTGTAATCATACATAAAGATAGACAACAAAGGATGATAATTGCAAAAGGTGATCATTATAGAGCCGTGATTTTACTTGAAGCGTGAAACAGATACTAACTAATATTGCGTAGTATTCTACTACCTATTTCACGGTTCGAGTAAAATCACTCTGACTAACTAATTACAATTAATTATCATAGTTTTATGTAATTAACTTTGCTAATACAACTCAAAAGGTGGATGGAAATCAAGATAAATGACAGAGAACATAAAAATAAGAGTCTTCAAGTAAATTAAATCGTAATCACATTCAACATTATGATCCATAAAGTTAGTTATCAAACTTTATATAAGGTCACAATTATGTGAACTGGCGATGGATACTGATTCATCCGAAACACGTTGTATTCTTTAAATAATGCTTAAATTACCCCTTCATCCATACTGTACCTAAAAATCGAGTAGAGTATCACATTGTAAATCTAGTTTCTTTGAGAAATTAGTCGGAGTGTGCACCGATTTATCCACTTTTTTGTAGTACTGATTTGTAAAGCAGCGCGCTGCGATCCTCCTTTTTTGGCTCCTGGAATGTCCTTGAAGGAACAATTTACACCCTCGAGCGCGCTCACTTGTCCAGATTTCTTGCTGCTAGTGCTCCTTTCTCGCAACGAGAGTTTTAAAAACCGACACAACAACCAGTAAATTTATTACTATTCACCAGTAAACAAAAATCGAAAAAAAGGGCAATTATTACCTGCCACTCTAAAAGAATAACTTTCATGATAATGAAACAATAAATTCACTGAATGATATCTGTAAGTGCGTCATTTCTCTGGCCAGTTTGCTATTTTCAAACTCTTGATGGCTTCTATTCCTAATCATTTTACTTTACGTGTTGTAAATGTGTAAATGTAAATATCATATTATCTACTCCCCTCAGGGCTTGGGGAACTTTGCCAGACTGCTTAAGGTGCAGTTTACAAGTAATGAAGGAATGAGTAATAATGCCCCCATACATGAGTGTGAAAGTGAGATAGACCGCTACACCGGGCTCTTCGTGCCCTACTCTTAACGAAGAGTGTGTGGGTTCTTTAACGTCCCACAGATTTTTATTACATGTGCAAGGGCTTGTGATAAGGGGCCCACGGTTTATCGTCCTTATCCGACAAGACTAGAAAGTCAAACCGTTTGCAGATGTTATTACAAAAGCAGCACTTTCTCCTCACTTATTTAAAGACCCTGAGTGTTTGGTCCGGCCAGGGTTTGAACCTAAAGCCTTCCGCTCAGCAGACCAGCGCTTATCCCACTGAGGTAACCGGGCGGCGGTGTTGAATCTTAGTTGAATGGAAAGCTCGTTTTCATTCACCGAAAGCCAGGAACACCCTTAAAGTATATATCTTACCGGTTGTTGGTAACTTGGCCTTGCATTACTGTTCATGAGAAACTGCACTATGGAGAAGTGATTGTGGCGTTCCGCTTTTTGCAGAGGGGTACGTTGAAACTAGAAAAAGTGGAGCAAATTGTAATTTGTTATCCTGGTTGTGTTATTGATTTATAAATATAAACACGCAATACCAAGGACGAGCGCCATTACATTAAACAGCAAAGCCAACTTAATATTTTAAAAAGAAGGCGAGTTAAGTTTCCTTCAGTGAAACCAGATTACCACCAAAAGTATTTCACTCTTGTGAAAATTAATCGCCAAACATGTTGTTTTCAAATTCAATTGTATTTTATTTCATTATTCCGTTGTTGTCTTTTTTCACACTTTAGAGCTTTAACTCTTTCAGTGTTTTTTTTTCTTGTACAATTTTCATGCATAAAAAGAGAAGAATATAACTAAAATTAGAGATGCAACGCGAGGTTACAAAAACTTAAGCTTTTATAACACGCCAATTTCACATTGCAATGGGTTTAAGAGATGTGAAATTTCAATTAATAAATCCTTAATCTTACTTTCGTTTACAGGACCACAGCTAATTTAAAAAAGCCTCTTTATTCAAGGTCAGAAACGTTTAACCATCGACTGAACTTACTCTGTCTTCAGCGTTAACGTTCGCACCCTGTTCTAACAACAGTTTGACAACAGATTCCTGTCCATACCAACTGGCAAGATGAAGAGGTGTCAGAGAAAACTAACGAAAAGATAAAAAGAGCAGTGAAGAAGGTTATAACAGGGAACTAACAAAATTATTGGACATTGTTGGACTCAGTTTCCCAGTAAGCTTCGACTATCTTACACCCTTTTTATTTGATTTCTTGAAATTCTTTCAAAGGTCAACCCATAGATAAACGCCTCTCTGACAAATCAATTTTGAAACAGAACTTTACAGCCTATATCCCAAAACGCAACAATTGTTGAAGAATTAAAGATAAGTTTCCTTAAGAAAAAGGCTAGGAACTCGACCCAGCCGACTCCAATATCGAGCGAAGAAAAGCTAGGCGTCGGGTTGGGAACAGATAATCATACAATGTTGTTCTAAAGCGGCTTAGACCAGCTTAGACCAATTTTAAGGTCCATATTACCCTTCAAATTCTTTACCTGATAACCAAAAACACTAAAATAAAACCTGATCTCTTTGATCCACATCTTCACCATTCTGAAGAAGCATTTTGACCGTCTCGTATTGTCCACTAACAGCAGCCTTGTGTAGAGGGCCTCTTGACGCCTGTGTTTATTTATAAGGTAAATTAAGATCAGGTGCTGTTTACATGAAACCGGAATAACTTTCATTCCGCAACAAGTTCATGCCATCCACGTAGATTTCTTTGCATCTGTTCACAAGATACCGAGAAGAAATTTTGCTCCCGTACAAGTCAATCCGGAATGAGTTCAGTACGGTGTTCAATCCGAATGAAACTTTCGTTTGGGTATGATGTAAACTGAAATCATTTAAACTGAAAACACAGTTCGTTCCGCATTGAAATTCGCAAATCGTGTAGTCTGGGGCGAGTGGCGCATGAGTATCTTATCTAGGCTGAGACTTTCGATTTTAACATGTGAATGCAGTACGATGTTCATTCTGGAACGAACTTATTCCGGAATGAAAGTCATCCCGGTATCTGTCAAACTGCCCCTTACAATACTTGAGTTATAGCTGATAACCGCCTCTTCCAGAGCTAAATCATGTCAATAGAAGAAACCTAAATAGGAGAAAAATAGGTACTGTTTTTTTATGGTTCTCGTTCATCGTCTCTATGCCTTGTAATGACAAAAACGATCAACGTAAAGTAATGGCTTTTCACGCGGACCCTGCAAAGCCGAGGTTTATAAATTCAGGCCCGCGCAGCACGTGGCTTGAGCGTGGACTCGTATTGCTACCAGCATTCACTAGTCAATTCCTATCCATTCCGATAACTTAACTACCGTATTTATTCCATTAACCGCCCTGGGCGCTTATTAAAGTTTTGGATCTTGAGAGTGGGCGCTTATTCGAGGCTGGACGCTTATTAAATTTTTTAACATTTTCAGCAAGTGTAGTATGTTTATTTTGCCACAAAACAAAAAATGTTAATAACAAAACGCGAAGATGTGACGAAGCAAGGTTTCTGTAAATTCCTCTGAAGAAAACTACGGGTTGGTTATAATCTCTTGGTTCATTTTAGAAGATAAATACTTTTCTAGTCTACACTATATGCTCTAGTTAAACTGTTCACGACAAATGGTGTTTAGATAAAAGCGTTGGGCAAACTGAAAGTGACTTAGAACGCGGTTTTGGTAAACACTGGTTAAACTCCGTTTAAATAACAGGCTCTACGTCTTCGGGGAAGTCTCTGGGAAGGGGAAGAGGTTGGGGTGGGGGTGGGTGCTTAGTGGAGTTTGAGTGGGAGTGAGAAGGGGGTGGGGTTGGGTGTGGGCGCTTATTCGAGGCTGGGCGCTTATTCGAATAAATACGGCATCTGTACCTCTACAGTACTGTAAAAAGTCCTCCAGGCGTCCTACTTGTTTTCCCTTCAGTGAATGGACAACGAGAGCACACTAAAATATATTATTATATACCACGGAACTTACTTTTGTCTTCTCAGCTCTCTCCATATGGCTCAGGACCTGCTTCTTGTCCTAGGATGATTAAACAAATTTGTTATTCACTTAAAATAATTCACCGTTTTTACTTTACTGGCCTTAATATCCTAGCTAATTCTTCATAACCAGCTGGCACTGACCAAATTTAGAAAACGCGAGCAACATACCATTGATTTGATGGTATATTGCCTCAATACTTTTTTTCACTTTATTCAAATCGTACTCACATTACGCTTACAATACAAAATATTGCGATAAAGATAAATTCTTTCTACATACGTAATGCTAACAGTGAGAAACAGCTTATACTAACAGTATGTCGTTTGCAAACAAAAAAAAGAAAAAAGAAAAGCATACAATAATTACTGCTAGCCATTGTATAATTACAACAAAACGTACATTAACCCTAATCTTACATGATAATAACAATTAATAATAATATAAAAATTTCATGGTAACGCAATTAAGGGGAAAATTAGGAGTTTTAAACACAGAATAGAAAGTAGACAATTTTGTCTTAATTCCTTTTCACGGCCGGACGTACACGAAATATATTTTTCTATTTACATAGAGGAAATACTTTCCTTATATAACTAAATGATTGAGGGCTAAGCAGAATGTAGAATCTTGATGAATAATACCAGACATAATTTCGTTTTTTGAGAGAGATATTCTAGAGTTCACCGCGCGAGGCCTAGCCTAGAAACTCTTTCCAGAACGAAATGGCTTGCGTGCATTCAGTGAAAAGGTGTGCGATGGTGTGATTCATTGGTCAAAAGGGGGATCATGGAGAGTCTTCTTTTTTCATTTTAAAAAAGAAGCTTTTAGCGCACAGGATATTGTGAAGTAATTTTATACTGAAACATTGATAACTTCACTTCCCTGATTCAAAACCAAGCGAGGTGACCCCACATTTTTATTTTTATTTCAATTAATCCTTCGAGGTGACCCCACATTTTTATTTTTATTTCAATTAATCCTTTTGGCACCATCAAGAATAAGAATACGGTAAGCAAATTCTCAGTGTTGGAAATATGTGAAAAAATAGGGAAAATATTATCTGATTTTTTTTTTGCGGTGGCTTTACTAATCATGGCAAAACGATCACGAAAAGTAGACAACCATGATAAATTTTTGTTTTAGCATACAGAGAAAAAAGTTCCTCAATACCAAGGCGTGCTTACTACGGTGGCTTTTTGTTTTCTTTGCATATCTGAATTTTTTATTTTGGCTTAACAAATTGAGGAGCTATAGCCTAAAGATCGAGCAAAGTGACAACAAATACTCTACGGGGCGACCATGTTACCATCATGTCTCAGTAGAAAGCATGGGGACCCCCATTGTATATTTCAGTCGCAGTCTGTATGCATGTACTAAATTTCATATGGGAAACTTTCACAAAAATCTCAGTGTAGCTTCTATTTCAGAGGAATGACATTAATTCAAACTACAATTCAAACGAATTTTGAAAACTCCTAATAAGCAACTCTTCGCTTCTGACATGGTCTAAACTGGTGATTCTACTTATATTTTTTATCATTATAGAACTTTGTTTCTGATTAGAGCAGAGTGAGATGAGTTCTTAAGACGTTGCAGTATCTCAAAATAAATATTTCTTGATGATGTGCAACTTGCTGACATGTTATATCCCAGTCAATACCCTCACCAACTACTAAATAAATGTATAGCACAGAGCGGGCAAGTCAATGGGCAAGTCTTTAACTCGCAATAGAGTATATAAGCGTTTTGGTTTTGTTTTTAATCCCGTTTTTCAGCAGAAAGATTTAACCGATTTCTATGGTTTTTGCTATCCTTAATAAAGTATAGTGGAACTTTGAGAAAATGTTATTTATTTCCTTGCAGGAATAAAAACGTTTAGGATACCAGCACATATTTAAAACGTGTACAACTATGTTAACTAACGCTGAAGGTTTTGCGCAAAGTTCAAATGTCTATGAAATGCCTATATTGTTGTACTGGAAAAGTAGATGTAAAGTGGCAAACTCCCCATGCGAATGTGATAGAAAATTCAGAGAGGTTAGCTAACGTGGTGGCCTGGAAGGGGGAGGGGGGACATTAAAATACAAATTCCAACCTCATACAATATAGCCTTATTCTGTCTGGATCAAAAGCTTTTCATCAGCTTATTTAACTAACAGTAGTTAAACAAACAGATTTTACAGATAAGATTCAATGGATTTTTTTCTTTATTTGGCTGACTTCAGTTGCTTTCCAATAATGCGTTATCAGTTACTCTAACAGTAAAATAACATCCTACCTTAGGAACATTTAAGCCTTTGTCAAGTCGTAAAGAATCATTTGTTTCTAGATCTGGTTCGGTTGAGGTTGAAACGCCACTGCTGCTTGATGACACTGCTAAGAGAAAATGAGGTGCATCTAGTTATTCACCCGTTTCAGTTATAAATGCTGATCTTATTGCAGTTTGTTTTCATGCACTATCAATAATCTGTCAAGTATTTGGTACAAACTGCTTCAGAGAAGTCATCACAGACGTAGAAGCATCATGCTTTTCACTCTAAAGATCCGCAATAACACAACTCTACCCGCCACCAAACCATGTCTCTTTTAATCCAGATCCATTAAGATCTATTTAAAGCAGGGAATTCAGTAAAGAAAGTCGTTAGTGGCTCGGTCATTTTTTTAGCCCTCTGTGAGCAATTCGTATCTATCAGTTTATTTAAGCTTAATCTGCAACTCAACGTGGAACCAAGGAAAGGGTATGGGAAGGGGGAGGGAGTAGCGGTCCGACCCCCCCTAAACGCATCCCATGAACGTAGAGGATTATATAAAATTTACGACTATGAGATTTCAAACTGAAATGGTTGCCACTAAAGGATCGTATATAAGGATCTATACACTTGACGTTTACTAGGAAATAATGTACAACAACCACGTGCCAATATAACAAAACTTTTACAAGTGTAGTTTACAAGTTAGTGTAGCCATTGTTTTTGAGTCACCTAAAAGCATTAGCTACATTTGTAAATTACACTTGTAAAAGTTTTTTTAAATTAACCCATGAAGTATGGAAATAACTAGTTTCAATGGTGTGCACATGATTAAACCCCTCCAATTAAACATTTCTGAATTTGCCCTTGGCAACGTAAAGTTTCAGAAGGCTACCAAACTCACATGACTTTTCCATAAGAATCTTCTTACAATTGCGGTAGTTTTCATCTTCAATTGTTGTCTTTAACCTGACAGTCTTCAAGTTCAGCTTCCTCTTTATGTCATCAGTCACAAGGTATCTCTCGGCAATGCGATTGAGGTGACCAGACTGATAGTCTCTCCATAGACTCTCAAGGCTGTCCAGGGAGGGGCACAGCAACGTTAATTCTAGAGATCCAGTCCCCATAGCTTTCAAGACCAGGTTGTGCGTTTCTTCTATATATGCGATCAGAGCAGACACGCCTTCACGGGTTCCGACCTTACGATACTTGGTGTACATCTGTATGTGTCGTGTTAGAATTTCATGGACATCTTCTTGTTGTTCATCACTTAAGCCTTCAAAACAGTGCCTAGTAGTAATGTCTGAAAATGAACACAGTGTACTGAGAAAAATATCCTTTACAATGTACGAACAACCTTTAAGTCGAGCTAGCACCCATTAGCAAGAAAAAAAAATGTAATAATGATTATGAAAACGATAACGATAAAGATAATGATAATAATAACTTTATCATACCTGGTTCATAGGAAGATTCTGACGTTTTTCGCTTACGGTTGCTTTTTGACTGCGAATCGTTACTTGCGGATATTTCAGTTTGGTTTTCTGATGCAGATTCTGCCTTCTTTGCAGAAGTACTTCCAGTGAACGTTTCTGAAACAAGCTGCTTGCCAACAGGGATGTCTATTCGTGGTTTATTGTCATTTTCCATAGAGGACCCTGTAGAAACAAGCTTCGCTTCAATAACAATAGGCCTTTTACAGCTGGCCATTCACGTGGTATAAAACTGCCATGCTGGAGATCAAAAGTCGCACTGGGACAAGCCAAACAAAGGAAATTACCATTTAAAGTATGTATACTTTTTGTTTGTCTTTTCCCAGTGCGACTTTTGCTCTCCAGCGTGGCGGTTTTGTAGCTGCAAAGGGCCTACTTCAGGACAACTTTTCAAAGGACTCAGGTTGAAGTTCAATGACAAAAAGCTTTTGAGGTACACATTCGTGACGTCATTGTACCAGGTCTATTTTATGATTAAATTATTCTCTTCTTCGGATTTCTAATGGTCGTGCATTTCGCCGAAGTATCCGATTCTAGTGTCTGGGAAACCACATACTCTTTAGCAAAAACGAACAGTCCGTGGGGAATAATAAGACCTAGGGACGAAAAAAGTAACAACCCTGTAAGCTATACTATCATAGGGACGGATAAATTCGCACGCTGTTAAGTGTTCTGAGCAGCTTATTCCTGACCGGCGTACTACATATTCCATTTAAAACCATTTAGTAAAGAACACTAATTCTGAAAAGAGCTAGCACCCAAACTAGCCAAAGTGCTTTTCAGCGATCTGCAGCCAAAAACTGGATAGTCTACGGTGACAAGTTCAGATAATAACATTAACAAGTTAATTAAAGTACAAAATTAGGCTTACAATACTTCATGTACCAAAAGAACACCCTACCGTAAACTATTTTCCACAGCCTTCCCACAAGGGCCTCACATTGTGTCCTCCAACTGTACATTCTTCCATAAGATGTTTTCACAGCTTTGATCTCTTCCAGCCGGATTGCATGTCTGATACGAACGCCTTCAATTGATTTTGCCCATTCTGCAGGATCATCTGAATATAAGATGCATGTATGGCCATGGAGAATGTTCTCTAATGCCTTGGCGAATCCTGACCTACGGCCTACAAGAATTGGTAGGCCTGCAGAAAAAGCCTCGAGGGCAGCAAGACCAAATCCCTCTGATTTTGATGGCATGATGGCAAGATCAACTTCGCACAGCAAATCTTTTATACTGTCTCTGTCTTGTGTAAATGTTCTCACAATCAGCTGTTCTTTAGCGATACCACACTGTAGAANAACAAGTTAATTAAAGTACAAAATTAGGCTTACAATACTTCATGTACCAAAAGAACACCCTACCGTAAACTATTTTCCACAGCCTTCCCACAAGGGCCTCACATTGTGTCCTCCAACTGTACATTCTTCCATAAGATGTTTTCACAGCTTTGATCTCTTCCAGCCGGATTGCATGTCTGATACGAACGCCTTCAATTGATTTTGCCCATTCTGCAGGATCATCTGAATATAAGATGCATGTATGGCCATGGAGAATGTTCTCTAATGCCTTGGCGAATCCTGACCTACGGCCTACAAGAATTGGTAGGCCTGCAGAAAAAGCCTCGAGGGCAGCAAGACCAAATCCCTCTGATTTTGATGGCATGATGGCAAGATCAACTTCGCACAGCAAATCTTTTATACTGTCTCTGTCTTGTGTAAATGTTCTCACAATCAGCTGTTCTTTAGCGATACCACACTGTAGAAGTCTTTCTCTAACTTCTTCTTCCTTTCCTTCGGGAGCTCCACCAAAGATCAGTTGATAAGGGTTCTTTCCCAACCGTGGGTCAGTAAATGCTTTGGCAGCAATGTCGTACCCTTTAAGCTCAAAATCTTCCTTGTCGCCCCGACCAAAAATTAACACTTTAAAATCTGCATTGTTATTGACATCTTGTTCCAAATCCCCAAATTCCCTTTCAAAAAGTCCTGGAGTAAATGAAAGCACATCCATTTCTTTTTTGTAGCGTTGTAAATATGAAGAGTAAAATTCTGTCAGTCGGGGTCCAACAGGCATGACAAGATCTGCACGCTTACAAAGGTCAACTTCGACTTGATGTTTTCTTTCGCCTTTAGAAGTAGGATTGATGTAGTCTTTGAATTTGCCAAGGTCTTCTGGGGCAGTATGTACCACTTGTACCCATTTACAATTCTTAAATTCCGCACAATTTCGTATTCCTTGTACTTGCCGGCCAAGTTTCTTTCCATGCCCAATGACGACATCGATGCTGAGGTCTTTAGGTGGGGAGTCTAACCAGTCAAGGGGTTCATATCCTGTTTGTTCCTTTGCTTCAACAATGGTAATTCCATAGCTTCCAGCTTCTCTTTTCTCATCATCTTTACAAACTCCCTCGGGAACTAACAATGTCACTTCCAATTTGGGATGTTTTGAAAGGTAAATTGCAAGTTCTCTGTTTAACGTTGACAAACCACCTTCTGAGGAATTCCACTCACTTCCCAGAAGGGTAACTTTTAATGCTGACCTGGTAGAAAAACCATCACCTTGACCTGGTTCTACTGGTGAAGTGCTTGATGTGGTGATCTGAGGACAGTTATCACCCTGCAAAAGACAGAATAAATTGTTTTGTATATTTTTATCACTATATAATGTGTTCCACTGCACCGTACTACTAGACCTGACCAAAATTCTGACTAACTACGGTCGAGCATGATGACTGGCCGGATCAAATACCATAAATTATATTGAATGCCACGCATATTTAAAACGCAACTTTTTAGGAGGGTGAACCAAGTAGGGGACTACGTGTCCTATTGTTCTCTCCCCTGTACATTGTACGAATCTATAAATAAATAATAAATAAATAAATAAACCTGTTGAATGGTTCATCCAATAATGGGGAATCTCAGAATCTCGGGCTCGCTTGGAATCAGGCCGTTTGGTAGTCTCAGATTTTGAAAATACAACTGCACAGGTTTCAAAAATTCGTAAAACCATCCCATGTCTACAAAATTCTGACTAACTACGGTCGAGCATGATGACTGGCCAGATCAAATACCATAAATTATATTGAATGCCACGCATATTTAAAACGCAACTTTTAATCACAGGTAAACTGGAACAAGCAAAACGCATATTAGAAAAATAACTTTCAAGTCTATTAATGTATAACAGAAGATAGTCTGCTGTTTACCATTTCTATGCCCCCGTTAAAGCTACTTTGATTCTAAGCTTTGATTCAAACAAGAACAATTAAAGAAATGCTTGTTTTTTGATTGCCTACGTTTTCAAGGAGAAACATATTAAGTAAACATATTTCTTTTCTAAATATTGTGTAACTACTAAGTATATGGTAAAAGAAGAATATAATTGACAGCTTTTTAAGAGGATTAACGTACTGTGCCGCTACTTGATTTCTGTTTTTCAAATTCCACTCCTTGATCAGATGAGGCAGCCATGAGGGATGACTGAAAGCAAAAAACAAACAAACATTAATTTTATTAATATGAAATTGTAACTGAGTATCAACAGAAAAAGGCTCTTATGTAAAAGATTTTAAAGAGAACCTTAGTAAACCCTGTTTTCATGATATTTCAGTGGCTCTTATAAATAAACCAACATAAACTGCCTAGATTCTAGGCTGCTCCAATAAAGAGTTCTAATGATGCATTTGTGGCTAGGCTAAGCTTATACAATAGCTATTTGGTATCAGCCTTCTTTCAGGACAGGAATAGTTAATGGTCATTTGTTCAAAGGATTACAGGGTTGGAAACAAAAACAAAAAAAACAAGAGGCTTTGAAGATCAATGAAATATGATAGATATAGCCTCAAATGTCTCCAGTAAGATTTTAAATACTGGTATGTTAGGTCATCCAATAGAAAATTATGTAAAAGGAAGTGACAGGTTTTTAATGTAAATGCATGGTTGATGTTTTGGATGAAATGGTATTCTAATTCTGTACAAGTAAAAGATCGATCTGCTAGCGGTTGCTGGTAATGTAAAGAAGAATATACTTCGATAGTGGTTTCTGTTGAATAAATTGTGCGGTCAGATGGGCTAATATCCAAAACTTTAATCATTAGTATTCTCTTACATAATTTAAAAAAAGTTGTCACTTTATCGAAATAATCATTATTTACTGCTTTCTGGGTTCTACTCCCAATTAAAAAACTTTGCCTTAAATTTGTACTTTTTGATGTAGCTGTGCATATTGCTTCCTTGGGATTATAATTTGTTCATGGCTACAAAATGACTATGTGTGCCATTTCAACAAAAAAATGCACCTACACAGGGGGAGAGGATGTGAACTAATCAACTATGTCTACTTACAAAACAAGTATGGGAGGGAAGATTTTCAAAAGATAACTTCTGTCGAATTAAAAAAAAACAATGATAAAAATAATACAAAAATGNACCTGACCAAAATTCTGACTAACTACGGTCGAGCATGATGACTGGCCGGATCAAATACCATAAATTATATTGAATGCCACGCATATTTAAAACGCAACTTTTTAGGAGGGTGAACCAAGTAGGGGACTACGTGTCCTATTGTTCTCTCCCCTGTACATTGTACGAATCTATAAATAAATAATAAATAAATAAATAAACCTGTTGAATGGTTCATCCAATAATGGGGAATCTCAGAATCTCGGGCTCGCTTGGAATCAGGCCGTTTGGTAGTCTCAGATTTTGAAAATACAACTGCACAGGTTTCAAAAATTCGTAAAACCATCCCATGTCTACAAAATTCTGACTAACTACGGTCGAGCATGATGACTGGCCAGATCAAATACCATAAATTATATTGAATGCCACGCATATTTAAAACGCAACTTTTAATCACAGGTAAACTGGAACAAGCAAAACGCATATTAGAAAAATAACTTTCAAGTCTATTAATGTATAACAGAAGATAGTCTGCTGTTTACCATTTCTATGCCCCCGTTAAAGCTACTTTGATTCTAAGCTTTGATTCAAACAAGAACAATTAAAGAAATGCTTGTTTTTTGATTGCCTACGTTTTCAAGGAGAAACATATTAAGTAAACATATTTCTTTTCTAAATATTGTGTAACTACTAAGTATATGGTAAAAGAAGAATATAATTGACAGCTTTTTAAGAGGATTAACGTACTGTGCCGCTACTTGATTTCTGTTTTTCAAATTCCACTCCTTGATCAGATGAGGCAGCCATGAGGGATGACTGAAAGCAAAAAACAAACAAACATTAATTTTATTAATATGAAATTGTAACTGAGTATCAACAGAAAAAGGCTCTTATGTAAAAGATTTTAAAGAGAACCTTAGTAAACCCTGTTTTCATGATATTTCAGTGGCTCTTATAAATAAACCAACATAAACTGCCTAGATTCTAGGCTGCTCCAATAAAGAGTTCTAATGATGCATTTGTGGCTAGGCTAAGCTTATACAATAGCTATTTGGTATCAGCCTTCTTTCAGGACAGGAATAGTTAATGGTCATTTGTTCAAAGGATTACAGGGTTGGAAACAAAAACAAAAAAAACAAGAGGCTTTGAAGATCAATGAAATATGATAGATATAGCCTCAAATGTCTCCAGTAAGATTTTAAATACTGGTATGTTAGGTCATCCAATAGAAAATTATGTAAAAGGAAGTGACAGGTTTTTAATGTAAATGCATGGTTGATGTTTTGGATGAAATGGTATTCTAATTCTGTACAAGTAAAAGATCGATCTGCTAGCGGTTGCTGGTAATGTAAAGAAGAATATACTTCGATAGTGGTTTCTGTTGAATAAATTGTGCGGTCAGATGGGCTAATATCCAAAACTTTAATCATTAGTATTCTCTTACATAATTTAAAAAAAGTTGTCACTTTATCGAAATAATCATTATTTACTGCTTTCTGGGTTCTACTCCCAATTAAAAAACTTTGCCTTAAATTTGTACTTTTTGATGTAGCTGTGCATATTGCTTCCTTGGGATTATAATTTGTTCATGGCTACAAAATGACTATGTGTGCCATTTCAACAAAAAAATGCACCTACACAGGGGGAGAGGATGTGAACTAATCAACTATGTCTACTTACAAAACAAGTATGGGAGGGAAGATTTTCAAAAGATAACTTCTGTCGAATTAAAAAAAAACAATGATAAAAATAATACAAAAATGTGGAGAACTGTTCTCAGGTCTTATCTTTCAACAGATTTATTATTCTATTAACGCCATCTCCCTTCCCCTTCGTTGATTAGCTGGCGGGCATCCTTGCCAAATTGAGACCACACATACTCATTTTATGGTCAAAATAATAAGCTGCTTGATCTATAGTTACGTTGAGCTTGGATATACAGCAGCTCATAATCCCTTCCTTTTCCTAGAACTGGGAAAATTAACAAAAGCATAAAAATTAAGGAGATGCAGATACAACTGCAACACACTGAAGTCCATGTTTTAAGCAGGAGTTTAACCAAAAGTCTAAAAGTATTGCACAATAAAACATTCAACTAAAGACTAGTTACTTTACACAGAATGGCTTTAAGAAAAACCTTAACCCACAATGAAACAAACAAGAATCCCACCTAGCCACCAGAGACAAACCATCAGTTGGCTATGCACAACCAAAGCCAAAGAGTTGAACTGGGGACTACATAGGGGTCAAAAACAAATCTGACCTAGCAGTATAGGCTGGGGCAACCCTTAAGGAGCCACATGCTTCCCACTTATAAGCAGACATTAAAGGATTACTTGTTCCAAATATCAAGTTCACATTTCCTTCAGTTTGCATTGTCAAGGAACACATTTTGAAAATCCCAAAACAATAATTTTTGTAAGTTGAATTCAGAAGCTCTCTTAGTAGACACTCTCACAAGCGAATGGCTCGACTTTTTAATAAAAATCAGTCACTTTCGCAAAACCTTGTCTCAATTCCGGGTCATTCCACAGTATTTTGTATGTTGCAGAGAGGACAGTTTAGAAGCATCAGTGGTTTTTAATTTAGTAGCTTATTATTATAACTAAGGAGTTATTATTTCAGGCTGAAGTTTTCTTCAGGATTGATGCATCACACCTGTTTTGATGAACTTTAAAATAAATTGGAGAGTGGCAGAAACAAGTGCATTATATGTTGTAGAGAGGACATCAGAAAAATGACTATTAATAATAATAATAATAATAATAATAATAATAATAATAATAATAACAAAAATTTATACAGGATAGCCCTTCAGTGCAAGAGCACTGTTATCAAAGGGGTCCTGTCATAATAACATAATATAAGGATAAAAACTAAAATAAGATAAGAATGACTATGCAACTAACTAACTACACTATACAAAAAATTGATCTAAAGACTCCCTAAATAGTATCCTACAGCTAATTTGCTTGATTTTTAAAGGTAAAGAATTAAAAGCTGAAGCGCCTAAAAAGTAAAAACTTTTCCGAGCAAAGTCAAGTTTCAC